GAGCAGGGGGGCTGGGAGCCAGGACTCCTGGGTTCTCTCCCCGGCTCTGGGAGGGCAGTGGGGGCTAGTGGATTAGAGCAGGGGGGCTGGGAGCCAGGACTCCTGGGTTCTCTCCCCGGCTCTGGGAGGGCAGTGGGGGCTAGTGGATTAGAGCAGGGGGGCTGGGAGCCAGGGCTCCTGGGTTCTCTACCCGGCTCTGGGAGGGCAGTGGGGGCTGGTGGATTAGAGCAGGGGGGCGCTAGGAGTCAGGACTCCTGGGTTCTCTCCTCTCCTCATTCTGCAACTGTAATTATCCAGCTGGTTAACCCCTCTTCTCTCCCCCCCCACCCCCCACAGTGGCCTGTCCTATGGCCCCCCGATGCCCTACAAGCAAGACCCTGCCCCCCACCCGCCGGGGGTGCTGCCGCCCGATTTCCGCGACATGATGGCTGCCTACGGGCTGCAGGCCTGCGACGTGGGCGAGGGCTTCCCGCCGCTGCCCTACGAGCCCCCCGGGCCGGCACCGCTGACGCCCCTCTAGCCCGTGGCGGGCTGGGACCGAGGGGGGCGGGGACGCTGGGTTTTTATACGGAAAGAAGAAAACCCTCGAAGAGGAACAAAGTTTGGGGGAACGCTGGGGGGAGCTTTCTGCGACTCCAGCCCCAGCAGGGGGGGCTGTGGGGGCAGAGTGCAGACTCTTCCCCTCCCCCAGCGCCCCTTCTCCCCCCTCCACTTTAAAATCACCCCCTTTGTTAACTCTTCGCTGGCAGCCATCCCCCCCAAATCCATTCACCTAGGACTGGAGCTGGAAAGGGGGGAGGGAGTGGTGGGGGGCCTGGAAAAGTCAGGGGGGACTGAAAAAGGGGGTGCAGGTGGAGATTGTGCCCCCAGAGAAGGTGGGGGGGGGGCGTCTTAATGCTGTTTGTCAACGTATCTTGTAAAGAGAATAAACCTGGTTCCTAGAGATGGCCCTGACCCCAGAGCGTTACTGGGGGGGAGGGGGTAAAGGAGAGATGTTCGGGGGGGGGGGGCAGGAAACAGATCAAACCGCGCCCCGCCGAAAAAACAAATGCTGCAGGGTTTGACCCCCGAGAGCGAGAATGACAAAGGAGGAAACGAAAATGCCCCTCACTCCGGACCCACAGCCCCTGCCCCTCCCAGCTTGGCCCGTGCCCCTGACTCCCTGTCCCCCCCCAGCTCTGCCGGTGCCCCCCACCCACAGCCCCTCAGGTCAGGAACGGTCCCAGCTACTCAGAGAGGCGCTAAAGAGTTAACCCCGCATGTGCCAGGGAAGGGGAGGGGGGTGGGACGGGATGGGGCCGTTGCCCAGGTAACGGTCTTCTGTCCTAGCTACAACACCAGTGCCTTCCTTGTCACCCCACCCAGTTGCCATGGTAACCAGGGAAGGGCCTGGCCCCCGCCTGTTCTGACATGAAGGGGTGAATCACATAGGGAAACCTGCTGGGGGGGGCCCATGGGATGAGCCCAGCCCCTGGGAGAGAACCCAGGAGTCCTGGCTCCCAGCCCTCCCTGCTCTAACCCACCAGCCCCGACTCCCCTCCCGGAGCCGGGGAGAGAACCCAGGAGTCCTGGCTCCCAGCCCCCTGCTCTAACCCACCAGCCCCGACTCCCCTCCCGGAGCCGGGGAGAGAACCCAGGAGTCCTGGCTCCCAGCCCCCTGCTCTAACCCACCAGCCCCGACTCCCCTCCCAGAGCCGGGGAGAGAACCCAAGCGTCCTGGTTCCCAGCCCCCTGCTCTGACCCACCAGCCCCCACCCACCTCTGTGCCCAGTTCGGCTTTGCCCTGCCCCCAGTTCAGGATCCCAGCGCCGGGAGGGGCAGGGAGGCAGAAGGGCGGTGACTAATTGGCATGATTAGCACCGAGCTCGTTAGCTGCCAGGGGGCAGGGGAGGAGGGGCTGGGGGTTTCCATGCCTGCTCCCCCCATCCGAATTCAACCTTCCGCACCCTACAGCAGGGAGTCCCAGAGATTCTGCCCCGCCCCCCGAGCAGGATGGGCACAGCCGGGAGCCCCTGGCCAATCAGCGTTTAATTACCTCACTGGGGGGGGAGGGAGGGCGGTTTACAGACCTGCTCCCCCCTCCTGCCGGAGCCCAGCTGGGGGGGGGGAGGGGAAGAGACAGACTAGGCTGAGTGGGTTCCCCTCTAGGGGGCACCGGTATTGCCAGACGGGGGCCCTGCCCCCACTCGATATGGCTCAGATGGCAGCGCGGGGCAGGGGGCAGCCCCCACTCCCCCTACGGGGACCCCCGGGCAGGCCGCGGTCAGACTCCGGGGGGGGGTCCCCTCTATTCCCGCTTCTTCCCGGCCCCCGCGCCGGCCGGCACGTGCCAGTAATAGAGGAGCTGGCCCGCAATGATGCCGTTGCAGACGGAGGAGACGACATAGGTCAGAGCCATCAGGGGGTCGCCCGTCTCCTGGAGGGGGACAGATGGAGGAGGGTGAGGGGGGCGGGCAATGGGGCTGGGGGCCTGTCCCCTCTAGGGAGCGCCAGCTCCCATCCCGCCCCAGGGCGGGGTCAGGGGCCCGCAGACTGTGCCCTCTAGGGATCCCCTGTGCCCAGGATCATGACGGGTACATGCTCAGAGGGATTGTGGGAGGCAACACCCCCTCCCCAGTGCCCTGTGCCCCCCGGCTACCTGGATGGAGGTGAAGATCCGGGCCAGCGAGCCCCCGAGGAGCAGGAAGACAGTGACGGCCGACAGCTGCCCCGTGTGCCCGTTGCGGTAGTTGGTGGCCGCCTGGAGTAGCTGGGGGAGTGGGGGGGGAGAGACGAGACCCCCGATCAGTAGCTTGGACAGACTTTGCCCCCCCCCCTATGCCCTGTGACCCCCAAGCCCTTTGGCGGGGGGAAGGAGCTGGTCCACATCCACTATGGCATGAATCCTGCTGCCCCCCCAAAATACACTCAGCCCCCCACCACTAGTGTGCCCCCCTGAGCCACAACCCCCTGCATGCAGGGGCGGGTGGGAGCCGGCGCCCCCTAGAGGGGACAGGCCCCTGCCCCATTCCCCGCCCCCCTGAGCCAGCCAGTCCCCGCCCCGGGGCCGGGTGGGAGCCAGCGCCCCCTAGAGGGGACAGGCCCCTGCCCCATTCCCCGCCCCCCTGAGCCAGCCAGTCCCCGCCCCGGGGCCGGGGGGGAGCCGGCGCCCCCCCTAGAGGGGACAGACCCCTTACCCTGCTGATGATGATGGCGGGCATGTTGGTGGCTTGCAGGAGGGTGACCACGGGCCGAGGGGCCAGGGGGGAGAGCAGCAGGCAGAGCAGAGCGAAATACAGCACCAGGAAGGAGACACCTGGGCGGGGGGAGAGACGGGAAAGGGTTAAATTCCCCCCCCCTGCAGGGATCCACCCGCTCCCCCCCGCCCTGGCATGGGAACCGCGCCCCACTCACCCTGTGCCGTGCGTCCCCCGAAGTGCAGGGCCAGGAAGCCGATGGCGACGGTTTGCAGCATGAGGAAGAGCGCCTCGCCCCAAGCGCTGCGGGGGGGGGAAAACACGGGGTTTGGTCCGCCCGAAAAACCCTGCCCCCCGAGCCAGCCAGCCCCCTGCCCAGCGCCCCAATAGAGTCCCAGAGCCGAGGAGAGAACCCAGGAGTCCTGGCTCTCAGCCCCCTGCTCTAACCCACCAGCCCCCACTCCCCTCCCAGAGCCAGGGAGATATCCCAGGAGTCCTGGCTCCCAGCCCCCACTCCCCTCCCAGAGCCGAGGAGAGAACCCAGGAGTCCTGGCTCCCAGCCCCCACTCCCCTCCCAGAGCCGAGGAGAGAACCCAGGCATCCTGGCT